CATCATCATCCAGCCTGTCGTGACGTCACGCGGTCCTCCTCCTGCCTCAGTCTCCCCAAATCCCCCCGAAGGAGCAGCGATCTGCAGAGAGGGGAGAGCGGGAGGAGCGAGAGGACCTCCGTCATCATGCTGGACACGCTCACCTTCCTCCTGGAGAAGCTCTTCCTCCTCGCGCACGTCAAGCTGACCAGCCCGCCGCCGCGCGGCAGGGAGCCGCCGCCCGCCTGCCGCGAGCGGGAGGAATCCCCGCCGCGGCCCGTGGGACCGGAGCACCGGTTCCTCCGGGGAGACCTGCTGGAGGTCCCGCGCACGCTCTTCACGCACTTCGGCATCTACCTGGGCGACGGCCGCGTCGCGCACCTGATCCCGGACGTCCTCAGCGGTGACGGGCGGCGCGTCCCGGAGACGGTGACCAACACGCGCCTGGTGCTCGGCGTGCTCTCCAAGCGCGCCAGCGTGCGCGTGGACCCGGTGGAGGACTTCGCGTACGGCGCCGGGATCCTGCTGAACGCCGCGGACGCGCGCCGCAGCGCGCTCCCCGGGGAGGAGGCGGCGCGCCGCGCGGAGCGGCTCGTGGGCTCCGTGTCCTACAGCCTGCTGTGGAACAACTGCGAGCACTTCGTCACGCACTGCCGCTACGGGAGCGCGCAGAGCCTGCAGACCGACAAGGTGAGGGGTCTCACGCGCGTGCGTGGAGGTGGCAGCACTTCACGCCGGAGGCGTGAGGGGCACGCGCACGGGGTGTTTAGTGGACACGCGAGTCCATCGGGAGGGGGTGCGCGGGCGCGCGTGTTGCCTGTCTGTGTGCGTGTGCGTGTAGTGGGGGGGAGTTTTACTTTGAAGGAGTGAAATCCAAAAGAAATGAGAAGGTGAAGAAAACTAAATATCACTGAATGTAAAAAGGAAAGTGACGGAATGATTAGAAACAGAAACAGACTCAACTACTAAAAGGCACAGAAACAAAAGCCTTCAGTGCGACGCTCCTCAGGAGGAAAAGTGGGTCAATCTTTGGAAAAGTCCCGAGAACAAGAGCTGCTTTGAGAGGAGGAGGGGGAGGAGGAGGAGGAGGAGGAGGAGGAGGTGGTGGAGGATCAAGAAGAGGAGAGGGAGGAGAAGGAGGAGGACGAGGAGAAGGAGAAGAAGGAGGAGGTGGAGGATCAAGAAGAGGAGAGGGAGGAGAAGGAGGAGGACGAGGAGAAGGAGAAGAAGGAGGTGGAGGATCAAGATGAGGAGAGGGAGGAGAAGGAGGAGGACGAGGAGAAGGAGAAGAAGGAGGAGGAGGATCTTCTAAGCCATTTGTATTAAATGATATTTTATTCGATAAATCATCTCAACATCTCCACTGTGTTCAATCACAATAAAAGTTCATTGTGCTCCTGTGATGTTTTAAAACGAGTGACGGATGTTTGATTTAAGTCACGTTTATTGTGCATTTCTGTGTGTGTGTGTGTGTGTCTGTGTGAGTGTCTGTGTTTGTGTGTGTG